GGAGTTTGAGGGCTGCACAGGATGCCTTCTGACGATGCACGGTGGACAAGACCACTTGAATCGGTCAGTGCGCTTCAGTGTCATGAAGAATATGATGGCCACAGGATGGCTGGGAGCCTGACACCCGTGCGCGGTGCCTTAGCCAGGCTGAAGTGTTCGTCAGCACACCAACAACCCCCCCCCGCCATCCGGTACCAATTCTCTCGCCCACCATAGGTTGCCGTGCGGTTCAGGCGGGTGTGCGCGGCTGTGGCGAGCGGCTCCCTCCCCACCAGCCTGCAGACCTGCCTGCTGAGCACGCTGCGTGAGGGCGTGCTGCCCCACCTCCTGCAGGAAGTCTGCGGGACCCCTGACGCCGAATGCATGGCCCTGTTCCAGGGTGGGCTACCGGGGGATGGAGGGGCGGCGGGTGGCTCGCGGCGACGCAGGCATGGGCTGGGTGGGTGGCTGGAGTGTGTCACTGTGCAGTGGAGGAGGTCGTGGCTCCGGCTCTGGATGGACGCTCACTGTGCCATGTGGGTGTGACGAGCCAGCCTGGCTGCAGCACCACACCCTGCTCGGCCCTCGCACTCAGTCTTCAGCTGCGTTCCGTGAGTGCTCGCGTTGCCCGACGGGCAGCCCCACACCAGAGCCGACCATCCATCCCCCTGCCCACCCCGCAGACCCGGCAGAGGTGGCAGCGCTGCGGGAGAGGCGGGAGGCCGCCGAGCGCAGGGCCGAAGGCCTGGTGCGCTGCAGGGACGAGTTCAGCGAGCTGGTGGCCTGCCTGTGAGAGCGCTCGCCGACGTGCAATGGCACGGTCCTGTGGAGTGTGGGCTCTGTCTGCCCTCCCTTGCGTGGCACATCCCAAGCAGTCGGATGCGTCTGGCTGCCCTGGGGTCACTGCCCTAGCACCCCTGACCGGCATGCAGGGGGATTCTGAGCATACATCTCCACCGGGTAGCTTCCCTCTCTGCTGCCATCTGTAACACTGGAAAGCGTGCCGGATGAGGGTTTCACGGTCACCTGCAAGGAAGCTGAGTACTGCTGGCCCAGCCGTGAGGCCCATGTCTTGGCCCTTGGGATTGCTTCGCAGCGCGCCTGCGCCCTGGGTTCCGGAATGTGACCGATGGGGCTGTCCTCTGACCCATACATCAGCCCCTGTCGATGCCATCAACACAACCCATACTAGATGATGTGAACTCATGTTTTAGTCCTTGGGATGGCGAGTCGTCGTCCCGAGGCGGTGCAGCCATCGGACCTCTCCTTCGACACCCTGTGCAGCCTGTTCGACATCCTGACGAACAGTGCCAACTCAAAGACCAAGAGCGCCGCAAACAGGCGCAAAATTATCGATAAATTTATCGACACTTGCGTCGCGCGGGCTGGTGGTCAGGCCTTTTGTCTTTTCCGGCTGTGCATCCCGGCGGTGAGTCGCTTGGTTGACACATGGGACGCCCACCTGTCTCTGTATATTCCCCTCGATCGCATACTGAAGGGCCATGAGATCAAATCTTGGGCATCTTCTTTACAAGTCATGTAGGACATGTTCGGCATTCCTTTTATTCCCTGTGCAGCTCCATTACCTTGCTGACATAATACAGTGCATTCCCATGCAGTTGGATGCAGAGCGAGGAAATTACAGGCTGCAGGAGGGAAAGCTGGTGGATGTGTTCATCAAAGCTTGTGGGGTGGCCAGGGATGGCTCCGTCGCCAAGGCTGCAAAGGGCTGGAAGAAACCGGGGGTGAAAGGCGTGGGCATCTTTGCGCGAGTCATGGAGGAGGTGCGTCTGGTGTCCTGGTGTGGAGAAGTAATCACAGTTCCATTGTAGTAGGCGAGTGAGGGATCTTAGAGGTTTGAGTTCAGATTTATTGCTTCCAAGGCCATTCTGGATTTTGTCAGACACGTCATTTGATTGAGGCAATCAGTCATGATAGCCATGCCTTCCAGGATAGCTGCAACTCCTTCCCCGACCCGAATACCCCAATCCTGCAGCACTTTTTCTCTTCTTACTGTGAGAGAACGCATGGAACTCCGGGCGCAAAGGACCTAAAGATCCGTCAAGTGAACGAGAAGCTGGATGCCATGGTAGCATGCGCAGGTGAGAGGGGAAATAGGAGTCGAATAGTTCATGTTTTTCCTCATGATTGGAAGTTGAGACATGAACTGATTGCTGGAGATGCTACAGCATCTGAGCCTCACAGCCCTGCTAAAATCTTGTGCATTGCCAGCGCTTCCAGATCCATTCTCAGCAGTGCCCCACTGAGGTGCTTTGCGCAGGCAGAACGAATGGCCAGGCGGAGATAGTGAGATGGTTATTCACCATGACCACCCCTAAGCAGATGTTCTGGCTGACTCAGATCCTCCTGAAGAACCTCAGGGTATGGCGTACTATCGTAGCCTGGTGCTTTGGAGTGGGGTACTGGTCATCCTTTTTCGGACTGAAGAAACCAGCATGCAGTGAGCAGACCTATACATGTTCGCACATTTAGCTCAAACCATGGTGCTCAGAGACTTTCAAAGAGCAGTGTCTGCATGCACTGAGTTTCAGCAAAGTATCTAACACTTGTGGGCACCCTTGCAACCTCTTCATCCCGCACCTCCCCTCCCCAGATCAACATGAGCGAGACCACGCTGTTCAAGGCATGGCACCCAGATGCTGTCGAGTACTATAATAAGTGTGGCGCCAGCCTCCGAGCTGTTTTCAACACCATGATAGATCCCAGCACCCACTTTGACACGGTGAGGACGAGCCCAACGAGCATCTGGTGGCCAGCTCCGGAGACCTGTTTCGTGACCTCAGGTCTGGACCCTTTGGATTGCGAGGCATGGGGAAACCTTGCAATCACCCACACCTACGCCCCCTCTCACTCCTGTGCAGGGCATCATTCCCGGCAGGGCGGTCCGGCCACAGCTGGCCTTGGGCACGGGCTCAGTGGAGTATGCCTTCAAGCGCATGCAGACCAAGCAGGGGCTTGCACGGCCCTTTCTCCTGGAGACCAAGTTTGACGGTGCGGCGGCTGGAACAGGGGGAAGGAACAGGAACCGACTCGTGCCCAATGCCCAGATTTTGTATCTGCTGAAGATCCCTCCCAAAGTAATGACTAAAACGCATCTATGACTCTCCATTCCGCGCTTTCCAGGCGAACGCATCCAAGTGCACCGTGATGGTAATGGCGTGTACTCCTACTTCTCGCGCCGCGGCATCGAGCACGGCCAGCACAGCCGGTACAGCGCGTTTGACCCCGTGCTGCGCCGCCAGCTGCCGGGCCAGGCGCGCTTCATCCTGGACGGGGAGATGGTGGTCTGGAACAGGAAGAAAGGACGATTCGAGCCTTTTGGGGGCCTGAAGACGGTCATGCACGCTGCAGGGCGGCGTTCGCGCCCCGGCGAGCAGCTGGAGGTCATGGACCTGGAGGGGCTGGGTCTGGAGGAGAGCGACCCGACGTACTCCCCACCCCGGATCAAGGTGGAGTTGGCAGAGGGTTCTGGCTGTTGGCCCGAGGGCAGGTTGATCTGGGCTTGTTCCTCCCAGGGCCTGACTGCCAGCTGCGGAAACACATGCTTGGATTTGATGTGGAAAGCATGACCCACGCTCACGGAGCACCAGCCTCTGCCCCTCAACACCACACCAGGATGTGGAGCTGGTGTACATCGCGTTCGACATTGTGTACCTCGACGACCGACCCACCACCCACCTAGCGCTGAGGGAGAGGCACCGCCTGCTGGCAGCTCTGCTGCAGTCACGCGACGCCGGTGAGTTGCTTTGCTGGTGGCAGGGGAAGGGGGGG